CGAGGAGTACCCAAGTATGGGTATGTGGAGGTTTTGGCTGAAAAGTTGCTAACTCAGTAACCAGAAAAGCTGGAAAGCTGAAATCTTGGGGGAATGTTCCCTATCCAAGTAAAACTTAAGTATTTTAAGTTCAGCCTTGAGGTATGCGTGATTCTTACGTACTTAAAAGTCTTAACGAAAGCTGAATTTGAAATTTTTAAATTGTACGTGGGCAGGGCACTTAAAAGTCTTAACGAAAAAATTTCTTACTGAACAACTAGGGTACTTTTAAAGGACGACTGTTAAATGGAAATTGTACATTTACTTTGCAAAATTTATGGTGATTATGCATTTTTGCTTATATACAAATGCAAAAATGCATATTGTGATTTGTGTGTGTGTGTCTGTCCGGATATCTCAACTCGGCACCCAAGCAAGCTCCGGCGCCAAAATTTTGCCGGTGGGTTCCCCGGCCAAATGCCACCCTAGGACCGCGGTACCAACCCCCACGCAAGTCTGGGCCCCCCATACGAAGGGGTGAAAGTTTTAGCGGGAAATTCGCTAACTCGGGAACCAGGAAAACTAGAAAGCTGAAATTTTGTGATTGTATCTCTCGTCCACAGAGAATCCAAAGATTTCAAATTCAGCCCCCAGGTATGCTTAGTTCCCGCTTACAGCCCCGTGAAGGTCTCTGGCACGAAAATCGCTAATTCAGGTACCAAGAAAGCTGAGGACTGAAATTTTCAGGGAATGTTCCCAGTAAAATTGTAACTTAAAATTATCAAACTCGGGTCCGCAGTGTGTGTGGTACTCACGTACGGCATCGTGAAAATTTTTGGCGGAAAAACGGTTAACTTGGGAACCAGGAAAGCTGGAGAGCTACCATCCCAGCATTATCAATTCTTCTTGCTTGTGTATTTTGCGACGAAACGCATTAGTTGAAGCCCGCATCTGTATGTACATCTGGGTGGCATTTTGTAGCCGCGGAAAAAAACAATCTACATATTAGTGAGGTTGTTGGAAAAGTAGAGAATTTCTTTCTGGCATTGCTTGTGCATTTCAAAGACGTTTTCGGCTCGGTGAGCACAGTTCTGCATCCGAAGCCTTTTCAGATTAAGGGATTGATCCGGCCCTGTACAGCTCTTGTAGAATAAGAGATTGGTCTTTGGCACACGCAGCTGGTGGTTCGCATCGCTGTCTACTGATAATATCATGTTAGTACGGGCGTCAGTCCGTAAACTTTGAAATAGCACTGTTATCACAGTTTGCTAGTTTCAAATAATCCGAAAATACTGGGCAAAAAAAAAGAAATCCATAATTTTTATCGTGTGTCATGATCCATTTAAGGGTTGTAGTATTGGCCTGAATTAGAGCTTCAGCTTGTAGAGAGTGGGAACACTATTAGAACAGAGCGGATTTTGAAACCTAGGTTCAGTTCATCTGTTTTGCATCTCGCAATAAATTCTTTCTTTAAACTGAGTTGTCATTTTCTACATTGCAGTTGCCAACTACCAATATGTGACGTTCACCAGTTAGCCAAATGCTAAAGGATCAATGGATTTTTATTTTTTCCATGAACGAAACGATACTTCTTTAACGCTTACTTTTTATGTGTCTCAACAACCCGTAATAATGAGCTAAGTCGACCGGCTTTTGCTTCATTCTGTTCATCATTTTTTGCCAATTCTTCAGGCTGGATAAGTTTCATTTCATCTTCGGTCAGCTTAAAATCCGTCAAGTGATTTTTCGGTATCACGTCCTAAAAAATACATCAACTAATTTACAGCTGAACCTTTTTATATCACCAGAGATGTCCCACTTTACAAGCTCAGTTTTGCTCAGCAGAGCAATTAGTAATATGGCACTGTGGTTTAGCACAGTCTTGCGTTATCGAAACTTTTTGTGGTGATATGCTCAAAGCAATTTTTCCCAAAAACCTGTTAGACACGTGTTCCATCGACCATTATCTCTTTCTAAAATCTGTTGGACTTGTGTTCCACCATGTCCTGCCCACCGAATTTTTCTCGCAAAGTCGGTTCGATATCCTGCAACTTCTTGTCTGTCGGGGAGTCTAACTGCCTGTGTGGTGATGAAGCCTCGCTCCACTGCTTTTGCTGTCATAGCCAATTGTTCCATCATTGGCCACGTCTCTCACTCGCACGTTACTGCTTTCAGTACAGTGGTACTGAAGAGGTGGACATGGTCCATCTGGTTATACATACATAACGTTGCCAGATGTCTGTAGAAGTAATTTTTGTAGAAATATACTTGTATTTTGAAAGACGCCTTGGTGTGTGGTAAAAGAACACGCATTCCGTTCCTGCTGATCGTCGGTAACTGATCAGCCAAACCTGTTGCCATCATATGCGCTATGTAAGTATTTCGATCCAATACATAGTTAAGCTCTAAAAAATGGTCATAAGTCAGCTGCAAATGTAAACAGTGTTTGTATAAAAGGCGCTTCTTGAGCGTTTCTTTCGCACACCCAAATTCACTCCCGATAGTTCACCACAAGCTCAAAAAAAAAATTTTGATATATTTAAGAACAATTTGCTGTTCAAATTGCGAAGATCATCAGCACACATATTCAGATTTTGCTTTTTTGCGGGCATCATTGAAGAAGGATAAAAATCCTTGTTGTGAAAAACCCAAGTAGCGGCAAACCAGGCTTGTCGGTGCGATCATAGGCATTTGCATGATTGCATTTTCTAGAAAAATTGCCTTCATGGGGTGTGTGACTATGGTGTTGCAATTTGAAAATTTGATGCGCTTGCATGTATGGCTCGTGCCTAGGCAGAAGCTCATCTTACGCTTAGTGGCTCGCACGTGAATAAAAAAACCTTAAGAAAATGCTGCTTCCTGCTCAGCCAGGTTACCGGATTAATTAGGGCGCAAGTAACGCTTCAAATTAGAATTTCGCGCAAACTTTTGGAAGATCTGGGCGTGCTTTAAAGCTGTTTTTGAAATAGTTTGATCGCATGCTGGCATAGAATATTCTCTTAAAGTTTCAGCTCCACCGATTGACTGGTTGGCGAAATCGTTTTTCGCTACATATATCTTTGACGTATCCGAGCGCGCAATACAGGCATATGTCAAAGCTCATTTTATGCCTACGCGCCCGCGTAAGGAAAACAAATATTCTTTTAGAGTTAGAGCACTCTGGTCGGCTTATTTTCCGAATTGGCATTTTGCCAGCGATTCAGCAATCTCAGTTTTTACTATGCCTTTTTGCTATGCAATGCTATAGCGCTGCAGTAGTGAACAAAAACATATACTGTCGAGAAGTGAAATTCTGTCATGCGGGCATAACAAATACTCAGTTTTACCGCAAACCCAAGAGCGAGTGCGTTTTGCAGATTTCATGATCCCTTTCCAACTCGCTTCAAATTTGCATTTTTTTTTTAATGAACAAGCATTCACGAGAAAAACGGCCGGGGTTCGTGCAGAAAACTGATAATCATGCAATTATGAGGGGCTAAGGGAGTCCGTGTTGTGTGAGGTGTGAATCGTGTGACGATGTGTGTGTACAGTAGAGGGGGGAAGATCGTGCCGTGTCGCTGGTCCGGTGTTGAACTGGTACTGGTGTTAAACTGTGTTTATTCTGAGTTAAGGCTCGCTTATATAACAAAACGAGGGCCACACCTCCTCGATCATATATGCTGATCCGCGGACGTAACAAACAAGGCCCAGGCAAATCCGGGATTTCACAAACAAGGAAGTCTGGCGTTGTCACAAAGAACCGGCGCTGCTTCTCGGAACATCTGGGGCCATACGAGCATCCGATCAGCGCGTAGCATCAACACCCCCATTAATCATCATATCCAAAAAACGGATTTTTGATACTTTAAATATTTCCAATTTACATTCGAGGGGCCATCCCTCGCCCCTTACACGCGCCTGAGGTCCACGCGGCCCCACAGAACAATACCCTCATCCCAGCTGACCCCCTTTCTCCTTGCATGCGAAAAGAGACCAAAATATAGATAAGGTGAACCTAAGTGTTAATTTACAATGCCGGAACCATTCCTGCTGTAACAGTCTGCAAGTTTAACGTAAAAACACACGATCGCACCGGCAAGCCTGGTGCGTTGCAACTTGGATTATGTGTCCACACACATGACCTGAGCAAGCGTTAAAGCTGGATTTCAAACTTTTAGCTCACACAAGGACACAGAACATCCCCTTATAATTTCAGTTTTCTGTCTCGCGTGATTCTCGAACTCGCTTTTCCTCTAAAAAATTTACATATTTTCTTTTAGATGCCGGTATGTGAGGCTCAGGCGTACGTGAGTGATAATATTAAACGGGCAGGTCGCACATTTGGCGAGCACATGCTTCAGAAGTTCCAGTGCCCTAGCTTTTACAGTTTTTGAGTTCAAAGCGGGTTATAAAATGCGAACACATGGACACACACACATATAAACAAACACCCACATGCACAAACAACTTCTTTCCAATACGCGTTTTTACACCTGCGTAAATATGCACAAATGCATTAAAAAATAGCGTTATGCCTCTCGTAGGTGTTAAATCCGACCAGAAATGCATAAAATTCAGTTAGCAAAGATATTGCAGAAGGCAGTGTAGCGTTGGTGCTAATATAAATTTTCAAATTACCTTATTATGAGCATACGAGTTAAAAAATGCAGAAGGAAGTGAAATCAGTGAGGGCTGTTGAGGTGCCAAAAAACCTCCATTCGTTAAAATTGCACAGGAAAAAAAGCTTTAAAATGAAACAGTTTTTAATGATAACTCTTAGCTCCAAAATAAATTTGAGTGGTCCAGTCTGCTTTCAATTTTCTACACAACTGCTAGAACTTGCCAATGAGACTGCAGGTCACTGCAGTCTTTTGGCTGTTTTTATATTTGAAATATCATTTGAATACTGATGCTTTCATGCTAGAAAATTGCAAGGCCTGAAAAAAGGCGGAAAAGTCCCATCGTATAATAACTGACCGATTTTTTAACGAATAGTACGCGATAGAGAGTGTCTACTTTATTCTACCAAAAAGTAGTCTTTCTCAGAGAGTACGGTCTGAAAGGCTGCCAAATGAGAGTGAATTCAGAGGTACGCAAAACGGAAACAAACCAAAGTCATCGTCATCTTCGCCGAACGGATTCATTAAGTACTGGCCCACTTTCAACCAGCCAATGTAAAAAAGCATTTGAAATGTTGTAAAAATTGGGAATAATATGGCGATTTCTTTTTCCATCGAGCGCTCGTCGATTTTTGGCTGCCGTCCAATCAAGCAAATAACAAAATAACCATAAGTTGCGATCGCCACAACCTGTTTTTACTTTTATTGGTGCATTTTTTTAAAATTTTCTTTATTTCCACACTTCTTTTACACGCATAAATAAAAAAGTGTTCAACTGCAACAGACGCATACTTGCTAAAGCAACAACCATTCATGCTGTTAACGATCTGATTGCTTCACAAAATCGCACAGATACATCAGCAACGCTGGTGCGTACTCCAGTTATTGTAAGTCTTTTGCTGATTTTTTTTTTGACTGGTAAGCGGCCGATGCGCAAAGTACTACCGGCCATTGTGCTCCAAATGATGATATTAAGCAGTGTTAGGTATGACAACAACACAAGCAATATTGCTTGAATTGTCATAGTGAAATTTTGCCTTACCAAGGTCAAAATTTCATAGTGGCATTTCGAGCAACAAACTAAAAGTAAAACTTTGTATGACCGAAGTGATATTTTGATTTAAACAATTACTAAAGGTGTAACTTTCTTAAAAAATTCTGGCTAAGGTAGCGAATAAAATTAAACAAACTTTCACCTGAGTATAAACGAGAGGAATTTTCACCCAGTCATAAACGAATAGCATTGCAAAGCCATCCCTAAACGTATACACTTGTTGCATAAGCATGTGAAGCTGCATGGAATCAATTCGTTTTTGACGGTACAGTGCGCCCAGTAGATTTGTTATCCAGATCACTGGTACAAACCTTTAAAAAACTTGATATTAAAGCCCTTCTTCGCCGGGCATAAGAAACTTTAAAAATGTTTTGAAAACTAAACTGGAAACAACTTTAAATTTATTCTGAGCTATGACACCAACTGGACTAGTGTTTCTGGGAACAGCAATTTCATTAAGATGGAAAGAAACAAAAAAAAAATTATCCAAAAGATGCATAAGTTCATAAAAGTGGCAAAAATTTGCCGAACAGCGGATCAACATCATATCATAAATGATAAATTAAAGTCTGAACTAAAGTGTTACTTTAGTCGTAAACACCGAATTCCAGGCTTTCTATTTTTTGCAGATGTTTACATCACTGGTTCTTCGATCTTAAAGCAGTGAAAAAGACCGCTCTTCGCCCCTAAGTTTCATTCTTTTGTGCCTTGCTGACTACCTTTCCTTTCATACACTAGTAAATTTCACTGAAATTTAGCCTCTGAATCAGGCAAGACAAGTGTTGTTAAGCTATACCACTTTCCATGCGGTGCCTCAATATTAGAAAAAATCTGGTACTCTTCTTCGGTCATTAGATCGGCTTCCACAAAATGTCGTTCTGTTGGAAACCGCTTCAGTGTACGAACAGATATACTGGACCATGCTACCGCTGCCTACAAATATAAAATCTACATATACCACAACTTCCTCAGGCAACGCCTAAGTGCACTGGGCCTAGTGTGATAGCTCACTAAATGCTTTATCATAGTAGCGGCCTACCTCTATGACGGTCAGCATGTGAGTGCTTATTACTGTAACTGTCACTTCTTATGCTTACATTATACATCATTTCATCTGTACCTGTAAGCTAGACCATCGAGCGATAGCCTGTCGGATCGGCAAATTTTCTTCTCCAGGCAAGCACGCTGTAACCATCATCATCAGTTTATCTGGCCAGCTAATGTAGTTGAATTGCTCCCACCAACGGGCCACCACCACTGCAACGAAGAAGCCAAGCAAGAAGGATAGCGGAATATACTGGGAGCCAATTTCACACCAAATAATCCATCCTGTGAAGTATTCTTTCTGCTTTTCGTCTAGATAGTACCACTGCAAAGCGGCACTAACATGCAGATACCATCCACACAGATCTTTACAAAAGTCAGTGGCGTAGCCGTGAGGAAATCAAAGGATATACAAGCTCATTTATTCAGAAACAATGCTTTTTCCCCAATATTTGTAACAGTCCAACTTTCCGTACAATTTTTATGCGTTTTTGCTGAGCAGCTACAGTGAGCAAAAACGCATACTGTCGAGAAGTCGTCTGCGTGTTCGAAAGCGAGTGAACTTTGCTACCCGCTTTCATCTTAGCAACCAGGGAAGCTGAAAGGCTGAAATGTTCCTACCTCGTGTGTCATCATTCCGTTTTAAAATTTTGGTTCATATGCACCTAGGCCTCGCGTACGGATCACCGAAAAAATGTGCAGAGTTCTTTGGCAGGATCTTGGAAACCAGGCAATGTAAGGAGCTGTAACTTTGCAGAGATATTCTCTGTGCATATTCGAGTTAAAAATTTCAATTCAGCTGTTGCGCGCGCTTGTGCAGCGCGCACGATCACATCAAAATCTGCACTTGGCACTGTGCTAACTCGAAAACTAGCCGGAAAACAGTAGCTGAAATTTTGTCAGCATATTTGTAGCTGATATGAGGAATCATGTATTTAAACTGAGTTCCAATATGCATTTACGCCACGACTTAGGCACTTCAAGGCATTTGTAGCGAAGCGGCTATTTCATTTTCCGGATAAGTCGCAAGGCTGAAACTTCGCTGGGATATCCCACTTTCATGTGTGGTCTTAATTCTGCTTGGAGGTGAAATTCCCTACAGGTGTTTGTGAGAAATACTTAGTTTTACCGTAAACTCTGAAATGAGTGCATTTTGCTGTGAACGACTGCCCTCATCCTTATCCAACATCCAATCCATTTACATATTTGAATTTTTTGACGGTCGGCCACTCTAGTTTCCACTTTCTAGCGAACTTTGCATTTTTTTGAAGGGCAAGCATTTATTAGAAAACCGACCGGGATTCATGCAGAAAACTGATAATCGTGTACCTGGAGGTCCACGTCATCCTATAATGCAATGCATCCATTTCAACCGACGCTGTTTCCCCTCTGTGCCGAAAGAAGCTAAAGCATGGCCAATATGAGCCTAAGTGTTAGGGTACAGCGCAGTATTAAGGTACTGCTGTTAGCGATCTGCAAGTTTAGTGCAAGAACGCATGATCGCACCGGCAAACCTTGTGTGTTCCAGCTTAGGTTTATAATGACCATCCTAAGAATGTCGATTCTGAAAAGTATTTTAATTTGCGCCTTCCAAAAAAAGCAGAAGATATCCTTGCAAAGATTATTCAAAAGTGAAAAGTGCCCGTTATTAATTCCTAAAATGCTACAACCTCTAGTCTCAAATGGCGCGTAAGAAAGCTGCTGGTTGGCACAAATTCTCAAAATGCTGAACTAAAAGTACCGTCCCAGCTCCTCAGTATGAACGCATTGAAGTCACTGTCGAATGTTTTCGTGATCATATAAACAATTTGCTTCTCCGTCCAATGAGTGGCCTACAGGGCACTATTGCGATCACACCAAAAAGTAAATTGTTATAGGCTTATCATGTCCCCCGTTTTAAAGACAACCGACGGAGGTCGCCCATTATTGAATGGTACTCACGAAAGAGAAAACGACTATTCAAGAAGTAGCACAAGTATGTCGAACTGACAAGCCCAGAATCGAAGGACATGATACAGCTGCGCCCGGCGTAAGCAAACTTTCGGAAACCCAAGCTGAAACGCACCGGGCAAGCCTGTGCGATCATGCGTTTTTGCACTGGACTTGAAGCACTCAAGTCATTAACTGCATGAATGGTTGTTGCTTTACACCTAATTTTTGCGATCGCTAGCATAAATCACCATAAATTTTGCATAAAGTAAATGTACAGTTTCCATCTAACGGTCGTTCTTTAAAAATAACCTGACTGTTCAGTGAGATTTTTTCTCCGCCAGAGCTTTGAAGTGCCCTTACGTAAGAATCACGCATACTGTTGAGACCGGAGGTCCCAAGATGTTGCTTTGGGTCAGCAGTAAATTTTGTGAGCTTTTTTTAGGGACCTTTACAACAGGTCAGTATTGTCGGAAGATCGCTCACATGTAGGAGCTATATGCATTGCTCAGTGATAAGCGTACAGCTCTCAGTAGCCTATCATTAATTGTTACTGTTCTTTGATTTTTTACTGACCAAACGCAATGAAATTGCAACGTCTACAACGTCATAAAAACGACGGCATTCATGTTTAGGAGACGGTTCATATTCATCCTTTTCTGGATCATCAACTAATAACGTACTAGCCACGTCCAAGCTTAATTCCACCTCCGCCTGTTTCTTTTCTTTCAGCTATCACTTTCTTCATTAGGCGCCGCTAGTAAGGCCGTTATGTTCTGCGTGCACAGTAGTAAAAAGAAAAGGAGTTGTTTTGTTTTGGCTTAGCCTTGAAAATGAGCTATATTTTACCTCAGGTTTGCTTTGAATATGGGCTATGGTTTGTTTTGGCTTTGCTTTGAATGCAAGCTATGTTTTGCTCTGTGTGTGTGCTTTGCAGACCCAACTGGCATTGTTGTTACCTATTGTTTCGTTAAAACTAGTTTTGTTAACCAGTTTAAATAAAGGTTTAATAACCCAAATTTGAGGTGTGGTATTCAACTCGAGAGAGCCGACGTATTATTTAATTGGATCAAATCAGCTAGAGCTGACGTGCTGGCTCCATTATCCAGTCATCGATTTTGTTGGTAATTTCGAACCAACTTGGAAGAGCAGCACGTGGTAATTAATATCGACAGCAACAATCAGCTTCAATTTTTTGGTTTTGCTCCTCATTTTTCCACACATACCTCAAGGTTGAAATACCTAAGTTATATTTAGACAGGGAACATTTCCCCAAAATTTCGGCTTTCTGGCTTTTTCGGTTCCCGGATTAGCAACTTTCCCACCAGAACTTTCACACGCCTTTACGTGAATACTACGCACGCCTGAGGGCCGAATTTGAAATCTTTATCTAATGCATGCACAGGGAATATCCCTACAAAGTTTCAGTCCCCTAACTTGTCTGGTTCCCGAGATAGCTTTCCCGCCAAAAAATCTGCATATTTTTTTGAAGCGTCCTTACGCTGCACTCAGGCGTCCGTAGCGGTGATAATACCCAGGCTGGAACGCACCAGGCTGGCCGGTGGGATTATGCGTTTTTGCAATTTTCGTGCCGTAGCAAGATCGCAAGGAATCACAGTAGCTAACCTTGTGACATACTGGCCCTCAAAGTTCGGGAAGTTAGTTGCTCAACTATGTGGTATATCAGTTGTAGATGCCGACTTCAGTGACCCGACAAATGGAAAGTTACTGGTTCGCAAAAAAGGCCACACTAGAAGCTAAATTTAAAATCTTTCAGTTGTACATGAGTAGGGAGCATTCCTTTAAAACTAAAGCCTTCAGCTTTTATCGTTCCCGAGTTAACAGTTTCCCCATCAAAATTTTCACGTGTCCGTAAGTAAGTGCCGAACGGTTCTAAGGAACTGAATTTAAAATCTTTTGGTGACACATAACTAGGGAACATTACCCTAAATTTTCAGCTTTCTAGCTTTTTTCGTTCACGGATTAGCGATTTTCGCGCCAAAATTTCCACGTACCTATACGTGGGCCCCGAGCGCTTTTAACCATCTGATTCTGCTTGCAAATGAGTAGGGAACATTCCCTCAAAGTTTCAGCTTTCAAGCTTTTTCCGTGTCGGGTTAATAATTTTCGCGCCAAAACTTCCATGCGCTCGTACGTGGGCTCGGGCTCTTCTAAACACCTGATTTTGCTCGTACATGCGAAGTTTCAACTTTTTAACTTTCCCCGTCCCCGGGATAGTAATTTTCGCGCCAAAATTTCCACGCGCTCGTATGTGGGTTCGGACGCTTTTAACCACCTGATTTTGATCGTACATGAGTAGGGAACATTCCCTCAAATTTTCAGCTTTCTAGCTTTTCCCGTTCCGGGGTTAATAATTTTCGCCCAAAACCTCCACGCGCTCGTATGTGAGCTCGGACGCTTTTAACCACCTGATTTTGATCGTACATGAGTAGGGAACATTCCCTTAAAGTTTCAGGTTTCAAGCTTTTCCCGTTCCCGGGCTAGTAGTTTCCGCGCCAAAAATTTTCACGTGCCCGTATGTGAGCCCCAGGCGGTCCTAAGGAGCTGAGTTTGAAAACTTTTGGTTGTACATGAGTAGAGAATATTGCCCCAAAGTTTCAACTTTTTTAGCTTCTCTCATCTTCAAGTTACGAATTTTCCCGCCATAATTTTCAAGTGCTCGTACGTAAGCCCCGGGTACACCTGGGCAGCTGAATTTGAATTCTTTTTGTCGTAGACGGGTAGGGAACATTCCCCCAAGGCTTCAGCTTTTTAGCTTTTCTCGTTCCCGAGTTAGCAATTTTCTCGTCAAAACTTTCACGTGCTCGTACGCTGGGCCCAGACGTGCGTGAGAGTTGATATCGCGGCCCTGGAGTGGCACTTGGCTAGGGAACAGACTGGCAAAATTTCAGCTTCAAAGCTTGCGTGGTTGGCGAGTTGAAACACCCGGACAGACGAATACACACACACAAACATACATACACACACACACACACACACACACACACGCACACGCTGATAGGGTCGTTGCAATATGCGTTTTTGCTGCCTGTTGCAGCGCTCTAGCGCTGCACG